TTGGTAATATTTATATCAGGCGAATCCTTAATATTTGTGGTTTTTTTTTTTTTTTTAATCTAATGCCGGATCCACTTAGAATGGTCTTTTGTGTAGTTCTTTTTTAACACTTATCAGTATTTTGAAAGTTTCGCTTGTGTTTTATCTAATTTTTCACTAAGTATGAACTGGGTCTTCAATCAAAATAATATATATTATTTATCGTTATGGGACATATAAACGTTATAAGCAATTGAGCATTTAACGCTATAAATAATTTAAACGTTATTCAATTTAAGCACTTAAACGTTTAAAAAATTTTCCGTTTACCGTTATTGGCAATATGAACAATAACAATATGTTATTGACGTTATGAAAAATTTAGCGTTTTGCGTTATTTAAATTAGTGTAAAATTTGAAACGTTTTCAAATGTAGTAATACTATAAAATAAATCATAATTTTTGTTTCTTAATAAAATACCTATTACTTATATAAAAATTGTATTGGTCTAAAAATTCTTAAAATTATCGGGGAAGGGGGGCGATTGCCCCCATCGGTCCTCCTCAAATACGCCACTGTTTACTTATAATTTATAAAAGTAATAGACAACAAAGATTATCTTTGATCATGGTCAGTGCGTATACGCGATGTCGACGTATAAACATAACACGCGTTTTACTAAAATGACTGTGTTTTTAAAAACTAAAAGAGACAAAGATATGGTAATATTTAATAATTATAAATACAATTTTGGTTTAAATAATGTGAATACATGTGAGATTCGTTGGCGTTGTGTAAAACGTTCGTGTTCTGCTACGTTTTATACTTTTGGATATTTCCAAACATTTTTGTAAAACAAAAAATATCGCCTCCTTGTGGTGTTTTTTGGATAGGTAACGCTAAATGATACTCAAATATTAAAATATTACAATAATTGCCAACTTAATTTTAAAATGGTCTAAACTACTCTGGGCGAAACGGAAATCATATAAAAATAAATTTGGGCGAAACGGATCCCGCCCAGTTTTTCGACAACATATCTATGTGAACAAATCTTTTAAACTTTAATTTTTTTGAAAAATAAATATTAAAATATACTAAATTTTGCGAGTGATTTGAGGATAATTCTATTCAGTTTTAATCCTGATATTGAATAACTTCTAGAAGACAAGCAGTGTCGTAAGTTGCATTGAGCTATTTTTTTTTATCTTTGATCACTTGTTTTTTGAGTTGAATATAATAACTTTCTATTGTAAATAAAAAAATATTTTTCAATTTTTCTTGTACAGCACGTTTCCCTATTACTGAAATGTACACATTATATATCTATGCAAGTATATTTTTCATATGCATATAAGTTTTTTTATTTTTTGCCAATATATTAATTTAGTTGACCTTCAAGTCCACACAACCAAAAAGGTCGAAAACCACTGCCACAATATGATACGTGCGAATTCTCCAAAGTGAAAATCTGAAAATAGCACTGAAGGCTCCTTGGTTTATGCGAACGAAAACTATTGAACATGTACCATGATTATAGATCGATTTCAGAAATTCCACGAAAAATTGAACACAACCGAATAGGAGCACTCATTCGCTTCTAAGTTAGCGATGAAACATCTACGCCTACAACCTGTCCCAAAGGTGCCTTTTCAGAAGCTCACGAGTACCCACGAGACGGTTATTAATTTCTTCACGTTTAAAATCATTATTACAATAAGTACTATATTACGTTTACTCGTAAAATGTAACGTCGTAAAAAACATTCAGTATTTTATGAAATAATTATAATTAAGAAAACAGAAGTAAAAGAACGCACGACATATTATGATATGCATGTATTAATTGTTAATCATATTACCGTCGCAATCATTACACCGCATCAATCATCAGACGCGACGACAGTGCACCTACACTGTCTCACATAAATATAGAACTACACATAATGTGATTTACTATATCCCATATATTCATAAATCAAAACAACGTTTGTGGCGGCCACATCGGAACGCTGACTAATGATGACAAATTAATATAATTATTATGATCGGTGTACGGATGAGACCAACAGCATAGAGTATGTACGTGTACGCTATAAGTGTACACACAGCTGCGGACGAAGTTCGAACGAATTGACCCGACGGTGACCTGAAAACCGGACGGCCAGTGGTGGATATACTGTTCGCGGGGTGACGACACATATTATTAGGACGGTTTCGAATTTGAAAGTTGATAATTCTTCGACACGTATAATTATATAAATATTTTTTTTGTTTTTTTTTTTCGCCATCCAATAGAGTATTAGATAACACCGTCTAAGTGCGCGCTGTTCGAGCCTGAGAACACCTGCAGTTAATGGTCTTGCACAGTCTGCATCATAATTAAAAATAAAAATGTTTCAAGCGTAAAATGCCATGTGGTATGCTTGCCTACTGATGTGCCGTAGGTAAATACCCGACGGGTAGGTAAATATTTTTGGTATTTACCCACTATAATATTTACCTAAAAATTTGGGTAAATATTTTTTTTTTATTGTCAAACATAATCATTTTTATTAAATAAATTTCATTTTAAAATTTGAAGCGTTTTGGTTACTTTTTAAATTCTTAGATTTATTTGCTTCCCCATTAAAAGTAGTATTGGTTTCAAAGTGAATAAAATTAACAAAAACTTCATAAATATAATCTATGTACTCTAATCATCAGTCTAGGAAAAATATGAAAAAGTTAGGAAACAATCATAAAAAGGTTTGGTAATATGTACCCATTTTATTATATATAGTACATATAAACAAGTATCTATATTATTTGTACCTAACATAATAATAATCAGTTCATTTGCTCGACACGTGCAGTGCGTAAAGACCGGTCACAATATTGAACATATATGATACAAGCACCGCACAAGTATCATGAATACGGATTAAAAATTCGCGTGTATTAAGTATACTATATAAGTATACAAATGTTTCATTCTAGTCGGACGACAGATCTGTATGCAACGGCTGCGGCTGCGATACGTACATATACATCCACGTACATGGATTCGTTATCGTATTCATTCGCGGTCGTTTTCGGTTGCGCGTAATAATACATAGGCTACGGACAACGGAATACAAATGTATACGATTACAACAGACCGAACTCGAGGAACAATAAAGATTGCCACAGATCGTATTTCTACACCGTTTAATTTTAATATAACGTAATTGTTATGGTCGCTCCGAAACTGATACGAAATTCGAGCGAAAAATATCACGGTTATAAACTCGGACCGAGGTGAGCAACGTAGGTATCGACTTTACGATGATATCCCCCTCCACATGGTAACGTATACGTCTGGAGTAACAATAATTAATCTAATAAGATAAGTGATGGTCACTCGCGATTATTTGCAAATCATACCGAATCGTTTGGCGCTGGTCTCGCTAATTTCACAACTATTTGGGTCTGCCACCTAAAGTGGGCCTAGTTATAGGTTGATTCCATGAAAGTTGGGAAGCTGTAACTTTATCGAAAATTTACCTTGTAAAATGATGGTCGGATTAGCTCAAGTCGGTCGACTTCATAAATCTGTGTATGACACGTATGAGTCGAAAAAATGTCGGCGATATTCGGAAGGCAGTGAAAGGTTTCGGAAACAAAAATGTCTCACAATATTATTATCATTATGACCGTTATGCAATATCGTGTGGGTAAAGTACACTTATTGTTATTAATTTCTTATTTAAGTACGTTTCCTATCATACGTATAACCATATATAGGTATATCATCGTACTACTCGAAGACAGCGCTCCAGACGTTTTCGACACTGAATGTACGCATACAGTTATATTACATAAACTACTATACCTTACTGTATAAGCTACTGTACCTAAAAATACACGCGGTGAGTTACATAACTATTATAACAACCGAAGATAATACAATACAATACGGTTACATTGGTTTCACACGAATAGATTTTAAAATTGTATATTGTACACGTGGTCATCAATTTTTCGACGGGATCAGTTTAACCGCGATGCCATCACTTAAGTTTTGGTTCGTTTATACGATTATCTGTGCAATTGAGCGAATCCGTATATAATAATTCACAATTAATTGAATTCATATTGGTGCTATTATCATTTCATACTTAAGAGCGATTACGCGAAACCGTAAGCGTAAATACCCGTTACGCGGAGTTCTTCGATACAACTTTCTACACCGACTCACCTTCTCTTTTATCGCGTTTTGTAGTCCGTCCAATCAATAGATATCAACTTTTGCTGCGTGCAACTGCAGTCTCGTATATGAAGCTAAATGTTTTTTCGACTGAAAAACATTATCAATCGAAATGTTGAATATACGATTTTAATTAGTTATTATGTTTACTCATATTTGTATTATTATTATTTTTTTTTTTTCTACTAAGCTTACCGTAAAATTATTTTAATTTAACGATGGATTTAAGTATACCAAAATATTATTGAGATGGAAAAACTGCTAATATCTTAATTGAGATTTTAGAACAACCAGTGACACGTAGACCGAGATTAAAAAGATACAAAAGACTCAACATATATTATTTGCACTAACTTTTATATTATACATATATACTCGAAAACTTATAGTATATTGTTTATCAATATAAAATCTTGCATTTATTATACAAACAATTATTTACAAATCAATATAATTTAAAACATATATTGTATTATAGTTTATAACTTATTAAGTAGTATAGTGATATTTAAACATACAATCCATAAATACCTTAAAGTACAAGTGTAATAATTAATACTGTAAGGCCAGTGGCGTAGATACAATTTTTTTTATAGGGGGGGGGGGGTGATTAAGAGTAAGTTTTTAAGTGTTCTTAGTATATCATAAAACGAGGTCATATGTAATAATATTACATTTAAAATGGTATTATATATATTGTTCCGTATTTAATGAAAATTATTTTGTTACTCATTTCTTAATATGTACCTAATCATAGTAAAATCAAAATATTTTACTATAATATGTAAATATTAATAAATAATAATCAAATATCATTAAAAAAAAATCTGTGGGGGGGTGGAAACCCCTTACACCCTCCCCGTAACTACGCAACTGTGTAAAGCTATAGAGAAAACATGCATTTAAAAAATGTATACTAAAATAACAACAAAATCTTTTGAAAATTTAGTACCGTCTGCGTAGATACAGGTCAGTTCGAACATTCGGACACGGGTAATTTAATCATCAGTGTGCGGATCCAAACCGGTGTCGATGAAATCTTTGACATTCTGAATAAATTTTCCGGGCAACAGCCTACATCAAACCATACGTTTATAAACAACAAAATTATTATAAGAATACACATTTATGTATTCAAATAGTCTAGTTAAATCTAAATAAGTCTACAATAAAAAAACCGTCGCTCTTTAAATCATATCACATGCATAAACATTATATTCGCAAGGTCTTTCCCACCAATATTCATAAGTCTAAAACGCCCAAGGTCGAAAATATTTTATTTATTCAACCACTTTATTATAGTTTAAAACAAATAGTTCTAAAAAATTTTATATAACGACATACCTGGATATCCTGTCAAGAGGCAACAACATCCACGGTATACTGACTTCTTTGTAGTTGCGTCTCATCGATTTTACTATGATATTGGCTACTTTTTCAGGCTCTTGCACATCCAACAAGAACGGGAATCGATTTCTAGGTTTTTTTACGAGCCCTGTGTTTACCATAATCGGATAAACCGTTGTGAATTTGATCTCGGATTTTAAGTTTTTCGTATCACCAACTCTCAACTCTTCATACATAGCTTCCATGAGTCCTACAAAACCAAAGACGTTATTATTGTTCAATAAACATCTAAACTATATAATAAACTCTAATAAGTATTATCACTGTTACATTATTACATTATTTAAATATAACTTTCAAGCTTCATAAGCGTGTCCCTTCAAAACAATAAATATTGTAACTTAAAACGGTATATTTATAAGAAATTTCAAAAGTTACAATTTCATAATTATTTTTTATGAATATCAAAACGTAATATTTAATTAAGTACGAGAAGGCATTTTTCAAGAATTAATGAACATTTATGACACATTGTAAACATTCAAATTTAGTACTAGTTTGTTAAAATACTGATTAACAATTTGAAAAAAACATTTTAGCAGGAATCTATTATTATTCATTACTGTTTAATAAATATGTCCAATAGTCATATAATACCGGAGTAGATACTACAAACATTCTGTGTGTTTTAAGCTAAGAATACATTCAATTTATAACTTAAATAATTACTTAGTACATTTCAAAAAATTAATTATATTTGCTGTTCAAACATTACACATTAAAGAAAACTTAATATTTACACTATTTTTTTACATATAACTATTTATCATATCGTAAAATATCAATATTCAAAAATATAAACATATACTTTTGTTTTGATTTTTAAATTTATTGATTTATATAGGTATAATGAAGTAATCTATCATAAATATAATCCATATAATATTTACTTAAATTAATGCAAATAATGTATAACTACTTATTAGTTAATTCACATTAATTTACAACAAATTACAAAGTAATAAAAACGTGGAAAAACATTTGGATGTTTGTATTTATAATACACCATGTATATATTTGTCTATTTATTATACAATAAAAACATCTGAGTGAAATACTCTCATTTTTGATGACCTTGGTTCTTGACTACCTTGAAAATAACTAAAATCTCTGCTGGTTTCCAAATTTTAACAGTAAAAAGAGAGAGTAGTTATTCACTACATCATATATGTATATAATATGTACCTATAACGTCACATTTTGATAGAAACTATAATTATAAAAGTAAATAACTATTACCTCTTACAGCGAATTTTGATGCACAATAAGGTACGACATTTGGTAATCCAATAACACCACACATTGAAGACAAAGCAATGATGTGACCATGATTATTTTCAATCATACTCGGCAAAAAAGCTTCTAAAGACTAGATAAACCAATATAACTCATAATATAGAATATCTACAATATATTTATATAGGTGTATAATTTATTTTAAAAATTTTCTTTACCCAAAAATGAGCTAAAACGTTAACATCAAATATTTTCTTAATTATTTCATGACTTTGGAAAAACAACGGCCTACATGGCATGATGCCAGCATTATTAACCAATACTGTGACATTACCAACTTGCTGTTTAACTAAAGCTGCAGCATCCAACACTTCCTGTCTCTTTGATACATCCACTCTAAAAAAATTCGAATATTTATATTAATACATATATTAATTATTAAAATTAAGAGTTAAGTTTGTACCATTCACATTAGAACTGTTTTAATATATTATTAAAAAACTTAAAACAAATTTGATAACTAAAATTATATTAAATTATCCAAAATAATTTTGAAATATTAAAATTGTATTTAAAAAAATAAACTAATTTAAGAATTAATTTAAACATTAATATTGAAATATATTGAAGAATAACAATAAAAAAATATTTATAAAATATACTTCACTATAATTATAAATTATATTTTTCCAAAATAAACTTGAATATATAATTCCTTTTATTAAAAATACAAGATCCATATCTTAAAGACACAGTAAAATTAACTTATGTGATAAGACCATAAACATTAGGATAGGATAGGATACACATACATATTACATACATATTATTTGTTCTAAAATAAAAAAAAACTATCTTTGTTACAAGGTAATATTTTCAAGTTTCTAGCCACATTAATTTTGAAATTATGATTAAATAACTAAAATTTGAAAAGTGAAAGTCTTATTTACAGCGTATTTTTACTGTTTCAGGACAATTTTTTCCTCACGCATAGAAAAACTATTAAGATTAAAAAAAAATGACCTACCTAAATTACCACCGTATGCCAATTTAAAATCTAAAAAGTTCATAGACAAAACTTTTGGATCAGTATTTTTATGCGAAAAAGTGTTAAAAAAATAAAATACAAACATCATTATAAAACCATAATATTCTTCGCTACACTTAGAATCTAAAAGTTTTGTGAAAGAAACATTTGTGTTTACAGACGGGTAATTCGTTATATGCGCAATAAAAATATAAAATCAAAACCAACAATTTAAATTTAGAAATATTCAAATATTTACCAAATATTTTATTAACTGTTGAATTTTATGGGTTGCGAGTATCTGTAACCATTAAGAAACATGAAAAAGAAGGGCTTCAGCACTCCCAGATTTTTCATTAAAATTGCGCCCCTGTGTACTACATTTACTTTCACTTAACAATTTTTAGTGTAATAAATGACTATTGGAGGATGTTAATTGATACAGTTACATTACTATAGTTTGTATAAATTCACACTACAGTTATACGAAAAATCGAAGCTACACATATTATAATAATTATTTGAATAACAAATAATTTTTTTACTACGCGATGTGATAGAAATTTAAGATGCTTCCTTTTTTTTTAAATAATTTATGGTAGTTATTCATTCGGGTTGAAAGAAACAACCACTATTTAAAATCTCATATTCAGTAAAAAAATATTTTTAAACGCTTTTATAAAAATACCAAACATATAATAAATATGATTACAAATTACGATAAATATATAACAAGTTGATTGAACATTAGTTTTTAAATTTAATTAAAACTAAGTAACTACAACTGTATAACTAATAGACATTAAATTATTTTGAATAATAAATTAAAATTATAAAAGTTTAAGCTAAAAGCTAATAAAATTTAAAAATCAAATAATTATTAATTTTAATATAATATAATAAATTCTGAGTGTAATTTGAAAAGTTTGGTTTAATAATAGATTTTGTTTCTGTTTATAACTTTTATTTTAGATAAATACTTAAGGTACAACTAACAATGTTCAAATTAAAAACCATTATTTATGTATATAAATATATATTTTTGTATAATGAAACATTTTTACAATTTTACTAAAAACATATTCTTTAATTTTTTTGAGTTTTTTTTTTTTATATTATTTACTTTCTAATAATTATAGAGTTAAAACTTATATAATCTAAGAATCTGTCTTCCTATAGTTCGAGACAATCTCGTAACCTTTCCACATAATGTAAAACACTTATGATTTATATTATAGCACCTATATTTATAATTTCATTATAATTATTTTCAATGTTATATGTATCATCTAAATTTTCATAGTTCTTCACATTCTGTTAATTAGAAAATCTCCTCAAATTTGGTTTTGTATGACCACGGTTAATTCTCAAACTATACAATTACTTAGGTCATATTTGAAAGTTCTTGATATTTTAAATATTCCTTTTTTAAAAATAACCCTTTTTAGAATTAATTTATTAATTTATTATACAAACAAATAAACAGATAAACTTACAAAATATCTTAAATTTTCAGGCGAAAAAAAATAAAATGTAATTTATATGCTAACATTTGATATTTTACCAGGAAGCATTTGAAACAAAAACAACTCGTGGCAAGATTATCGATAAAACAAATATTGTTGTTTTTTTTTTTTCTTTATTCTAACCGTATCTACTAAACAATATGAGGTGAACTACTCTTATTCTTCATAAATTCGAAATTATACTTGAAATTAACAAAGTTAGCGTTCAAATTAAGAAAACTCAAAACAAATATATCTAGTTGAAAACTAGAAATTAGTTATATATGATGTATACATTTTTTTTAATAGTACACTCTTTTACATGTCTTTTGAAAAGTGAGAATGTTTTTAGCGATGATAAATTTAATTTATCTTAACATTTTAGAACTTGCTTTATAAATAAATTTCTTAAATTTCTTTTACAACTAAAATGTTAGAGTCCCTAAAAATACACAATTGATAAATGGTTAAAATAGTTGAGTCACATCACATCCAGAAGAGGAATTAATTATAAGAATGAATACGACTAGGTCAATGTATCATGTTTTTTGACTATAAAAGTACAACGTGTTGTACCCATAGCTAAATCACAACCAAATATCAGTTTAAAAATATTAAAAACTGTAGTTTTTTATATATACATATTTTTCTATAGTTATATATTTATAATAAACCTCGGTTTATGTAATTATAGTTTCACGGAGGATTTAAAAAAAAATCTTCAACCTATTAATATTGACATTTTAAAATTATTTTCAAATTAATATAATATTAATTGTTTTTTAATAAATAGCTATTATATTATAAAATTTATAATATTCATAACATACATAAAATATATTACGATATTAAAGATAATAAGATTTAAATATTTTAAAAATTCTTATCTTTCATTTTGTTTATATACTTCCTTAATATACGGTTAATAAACAATAAAAAAGTTTGCTGTCTCAAAGATTAACTGCTCATGTACTTTCTGTACAATTTTTATAAAAGTAAAAAATGTATTTTGAAAGAGTAAAATTGGATATTCAGTCATATCAGCAGGGACTTTATGCTTATAAATCATACAGAACTACTGAGTGGTATTTCTATGTTGGTTAGTTTTGATATACTTTCAATGAGCCCAACCATCCTAAGTTCTCAAAAATGTAGTCTCTATTAAGAACTTTAAAAATAACCATAAGTATCTTCAAATAGAATAATTGTATAAATGTAAAGATATACTTACTTATATGTGTAAACGCGTTTGTGTCCTTGAAGTTTAAGAATTTGTTTAGTTTCTTCATTGCCCTTTTCATCTAGATCCCAACATATTATTATTGAATTTTGTTTGGCAAATGTTATAGCTAGTTCTCGACCAATGCCATGGCCTGCGCCGGTTATCTATTAGTAAATAAAATAGAAGTTATGCTATGTAAAAATGTAATCAAACCATTTTTATTTTACTTATAATAATTAACTTATTAACAGTAATCAAATTTAAGAATAATGTACAATAAGCGGCAAAATGGAATGATATGGAACCAGTATTTTATATAATTAAACTCAGATGTCAATAGAACCAGACAATCTGTTATAACATACATAGTATAATAATATATTATGTAATTTATTTACTGCTAAATAAAAAAGTTAGTTAACTAACATAATCGATTTATTAAACTTATAAGCTGATAGGTAATGAATAATTACGGTATCAACAATTTTGTAAGACTCAAAATTAATTCAGTAGCAAAATTAGTTTAACTGAGCAATTTTCAGCATGTAGATTTTTGTAAAGTTAATAATCCTTTTTAATAAATTACGGTCATATGAAATTTGATATTTATAATACGCAAATATAAATTACATATTATCAACTCAATCAATTCAGCCGAATTTTACTGTTCAAATTTTATACTTTATCAATAATAATTACAACGTTTACTAAATCGTACATTTTAAAATAATATATTTTATGCATGTTGACTTACTAAAACAATCTCATCTACTAGTGATTTTTCCAACGGCGGTAAAAATATACGTACAGTGGATTCAATAGTAGTATAAACGAATTTAATAGCCAACAAAATTAATTCCAGGAGTAATAAACCAAAATAAGCAATTGAATTACTCATGGAATTGGGCCTAAAATAAATCATTAATGAATATTTATATTTTACATTATAATATGTATAAAGGTAAGGTTTCTTTTCTGCAGCCGACTGCAGCAGTGGCTGCTCCGTTCGTCGCATGTAGCGGTATTCATGGGTTTTAAACGGAAACGGTTTTGTTTACGCGACCGTTGTGTAGTCAACTGCAGTGGACTGGTCCCAGGACTAGTACTATGCAATCTGTTGCAATGACTGCATTAATTTTTCGACAATTTTTCTCCTTCCACGTTCAATAAAATTCATTTTTCGTAAGATGATGATGCAAAACATTGTAAACGTGTATCCAACTATCCATCATTATGTGACTATAATAATAAAGAGCCCTTTGGTGTTATAGAAAACTTCACAGTGTTTGTTAAAGCTTTAGAAATATGTATTGTGTTAGCAGATAAAATAAAATAAAATTTACATTTTTTCAATCATAAATAGTTTTTAAATTTACCTTCATCGTCGATAAGGTGTTTCGTTATTAAATTTTCAAAAGTCCCTTCATTACGGAAGCTATAAACAAATTGTGAACTATTTTATTATTATTTTTCTTTGCAAACCACATTTTTGCTTTGACTTATTCATCTCATTCTTTTTATCTAGAATATGTGCGAGAACAGTCCTAGTAACGTTATACGTTGCTAATTATAGACGCATAATTGAATGTTGATGATAAACTAAATTTTTATTTGACTGCATAAACCAGTCCAATAATATTACGTACGACGGACAGAGTAACAACTGCATGTAGCCACTACTGCAGTTAGCTACAGAAACGAAACCATACCTTAAGATTATCTTACCTGTATCTTCTAAGAGGTGGAGAAGTTGATTCATTTACATTTTCCGTCATAATTATTGGTATTTTTATATTGATTAGACTGATTAGAATAAATATTACTATTTATTTGAACTAATTTTGATTGCCTGACACAAATATAAAACTGTTATTAAAATAATGAATTGTAAAAAATATAAAGTTAGTACGAACAAATGTATGTAATTTTTTTTTTATCTCTTTATTAATTTTAATTTAAAGACCTTCAATTTGTTTATAAATAGGTGCAACGACTTGAGTTATATTTTACATATTTTCTTTTCAATTTTGATCCGTTTCATTCTGATAAAGTTCCGTAAATGATACTACATAATTCTATACATTTATATTTAAAAGGACTACATGCACGTCATCTCGACGGAATTTTGCGGCCAACTACTGGGTCATATATATACCATAAAAAAAATAATATAATTTTAACAATAAAATTATAGTAAAAAAGATCTATCGTAAATTGTTAATCATTGAATTTAAACACATCCTAAGGTAGATAAATAAAAACTATTATAATTATTAACATTTTTAATATGCAGCATCGTAAATTAATAATTTTTTAGTTAATTTGTTAAAGGAGGTTTAGACTATGATCATAACGTGAACAAATTTACCGAACGAAATTGTTCATAGATTCACTAGACTAGCGTTTCTTAAACTGAGTTCCATAGAACCTCCGGGTTCAGCAGAGATAACTTTAGAGTGCCACAATACTTAAGAGCTTTTTTTCAAAATTTTCAAGAATATTACTTTAAATAATCTAGGTAAAAATTAGTAGAGGCTAGTGGAGAAAAAATGTTTATATTATAAAAAAAAATATTATATTAAATAATAATGTATTAGGTATATTCTATACTTCTATAGTGAAATTATAGTGCTTATGCGGTGTACAGAAATAATATTTAAACGTCGTTGATAAAAATACTTATTCGTTGTGAATATTCTCAACTGTCACAAAAGGCCGTATTAGTTCATTTACCATTTGCAATCACTTATATGTGTAAACGAGATTTTTCACCTATGTATCAACATCAACAAAATACCCCTACAGACATTACGCCGAACTTAATACGATAATACAACTGTCACCAATAAGGCCTATTAATATATGTAATAATAATAATAATATATAATATATTTATAATAATAAAAAGCGATTTCACTTATTTCATTAAAATTTAAATTTAAAAGTCATATTTGTCTGTTATTTAAAATAGTTTTTGAAATGAGTACAGTACCTATACATAATATTATATCAAATTAGTATAATTTTTATCGCAAATAATTCTTAAATAAAATGTCACATTAAAGCTATTGAAATAAAGTAGGAGTTCTAATTGTTCTAAATGGTGAGCTATAATAATTTATTGTTGAAAGGTAAATAAAAAAAGCTATAAAACTTAAAAAAAACCGTTGGGGTTTCACGATAAAAGTGGATATAAAAAAGGGTTCCACGAATAAGAAAGTGTAAGAAACGATAGAAGTAAATCATGCAAATATAAATGTAAATACTCGTAATTCACTGGTCACAAACTAGACATTATATAAATATTACACAAATAAACCTGAGATGTGCAAGAAATCTTCATTTTAAGAAAAGTGTATACATATATGTAAAATAATTTACTACAAGATACCTACACATTATGTAAGAATAAAAACGTGGATATAATTAATGTAAGATTGATTACGCATACATAAAATATTCTCAATAAGAATTTCCATACATCTTTTTAAAATAAATCTTTTGTTTAAATGATTAATTGTGTTAGTAGAATATAAATATCAAATATTCTCGTAGAAATCTTTATAATGAAGCGTGAAGATGTGAATCTATGCTCATTTTAGTAATAATTTATTATTGAAAATTTTTTTTTTTTTTTATTATTAATTATAAATTTTTATTTTAACCTTATATATAACTGTTTTTAATAACTAATCAATAGATCATTGTTACGATTTAATAATATTTTGGAGATTGGAATTTGGAAGACAAAATAGGACTACGAGACAATCGAAAAAAAAATGTAGAACAGTTAAGTAGAACACATAGTAAATGATATTA